TTGGACCCAAGACGAGTGGATAGTGGCGAGCGTTAGTCACGCTAGTCCATTGATCTTTTCTGGAAACCTGGATCGGGTACTCGACCAATTAAGGTACTTTGGTGTTGAGGGTTCTCCTGCCATGATGTCCCGAAGGGCCAACTTTCCTGAGCGCTTGTTTGATGAAGTGGGTAGCCCCGCAAAGATTACTGCAATTTGGCCCTTAGACTGTTGAAAGCCAAGGTTAGGGTTGTTGTCTCTATCTTTGTTTCTATCAGCTTTACCCTTGCCCTTGTTGCTTTTGGCGTAGAAACCTAGTTTTTGGAGTTGTCTGCACTCAGCCATCGTGTGCTTGGCGTTCTTGGGGAAAGGGCAGGGTAAATTCTTGAGGTCTTCGAACTTCTTGTTATTTTTGTTAGATTTCTTGGACCTATCCACGGAAGCAAGGGTGTTGTCGGGTCCTCTCTTTCTGCCAGGCTGACCACTCTGATTACTTCTGGGGTCGTAACCTATCTTGTTGGCCGCGTGGGAATCGTTTGCGAGTACGCTCTTGAGATGCAATCATCTTTTATACCGTACGCTTAAATTCCTCAACGGTCTCTGGATTATCATCGTAGAATTTTTCAAACTACCACTTGTATTTGATCCCGTTGGCGAAGTGATCTATCACCTCTCTGTCTATGATATCATAGACTTGGGCTTGCAACTCAGCAAAGCGACGATAATATTGCTAGAAGGTTTCATCTGGTTTCTACTTGCAAGCTCTAAGCTCGTCCTGAGTACTTGGGTGGGTGAGGACGCCGCAAAAATTTTCACAGAATTTGTGTCGAAGCTGTCCCCAAGTATCAATGGAGTTGGCTCATAGCTTATCAAACCAGGTGAGAGGCACAACGTCGAGTGTCATAGGAAAATGTAACACTTTGATGTCGTCGTCGCCGCCTGCCAACTCGATGGACTGAGAGTAGATGCGCAACCATTGGTTGGGATCTGTCTTTCCGTCATACTTGGTATGGTTGGATGGCTTCAATTTGTAGGGAAGCCGAACAGAGAGTACTCTGTTAGAGAAACATGGGAATCTGTCTGGTGAAATGCTGGACTCTCTATACTCGGACTTGCCTCTGCCTTCCCTGTTACTGTACTAGTGCCCGTGATAGGCTGACTATGCGGCACCCTGATTCTTGTTCTGGTTACCCTGTGGCCCTAGACGGGAGTGGGTTGGTACTCGTTGTTCTCTTCCTTGGTTACCCTGCGGTCCCAAACGAGAGTGGGCTAGTGCCCACGCCTCTGGTCCTCGGGAAGGATTAGCTTGGGATGTCACTTTTGCAGCCTACATCTGAAGGCATGTGGATTCCAGAATGACTTTGAGTCATTGCTGATCTGAAGTAGGGTTTTCTATGGCCGCCATCTCTTCTACCAGGGCGTAGATGTTGGCGTAGGGCATAGTGAAGACCATGTGGCCAGCTACTTCCATGAACTCAGGCTCAAGGTTATGTGATGTAGAGGCTCTGACGGCATCACGGTCTTGGAGCTGTCGTTCTACTTTTTCATCCGGTAGACGCTGTTCATATGCTGCCTCTACAGCCAAGCGCCATCATTCAATGTCTCGACAAGCTGACTAATACCGCTGCCACTCTTCCTTGCGGTGTTGGGCGCGATTGTGCCGAGCCTATCGAGTATTGTTCTTCCTTTCCTTAGCCATCTTCTGCTCATCCATCTCTCCATTGGGTGGCACAGTTTTCGGGGAGATGTTGAACAAGGTTTCTTCTCCATCTTGGATATATGGTGGGTTAGGCATAGGGATCTGAGGTGGTTGGCCAGCCATAAAGACTTCTCTGGAGTGCCTCATGGCCGAGTGAGTTCTAGATTCTACAGTCGTCGTGATGTCAAAGATCTCTGTAGAATTGTGATCGTTGTTGTTCGCTGAAAGAGTTTTGCCGTCCTGATAAGGCAAGAGTTCCACCATGCCGACTAGACGAGATGGATCTATTAAAGAAGTGTCGGGTCAAGCACCCGGCCAATGGACGATGCCTCCTTCGGGTGTGATGGATATAACCAAACCTCTCTGGGCACCCGTAAGAGGGGTCTCTTGCTCAGACTGCACGAGGTAGCTGATCGTATCTTGATAGATTGAAGCTGAGTTCTTGAGTCCTAGTGGAAAACAAACTAGGTCTTCGTGTTGGACTTCAGATGGGATTTACAGCCCAGACAAGGGTTACGTGTCTGAGCGGGAGTGTGGTTGATGGTGACCTCCTGAGTTCGAGCTAGATCAAAGATTGAGAGGTGCGAAAACTTCTCGGTGAGTTGATCCAGCGTGGTCATCGAGACGTCTGGTGAAACGAGGCGCCGAGATCTCCATGAGACAACTTTGGAGCTTGTTATTGTCGTCTGTCTTGCAGATCCAGGAGCCAAAGATGAAGGTGATACCCACCGAAAAAATCATGTTGTCGAGGTCCGCCGAGCTCTCGATCGCAAAGTCACCGAAAGCCCCTACCTGACGCTCCAGCTGTCGATGTTTGATGACCGGTTGTAGGCCCTCTTGAGACGAACGATTTATACTGGTCTAGGCCCTCTTGTCGAGTAATAGCCTTTACGTCCAGTCGGCGTGTAGCCTTTTGCGTTGGATTGATTGTATGATTGTTAGGGTTACAAGGGGGTGCACCGTACCTCTCTTTATATAGGGAAGAGGGTAATGGCACGTATCTAATGCTAGTCGGTTACAATAGAAGAGTCCTAGTCCTATTATAGCATAGTAAGCCGACTAAGTCGATCTGGAATAGCTTGAAGTCCATGCCACCTTGTCTCGCGTCCTTCGATAGATCGTGGGCCATCCCAAGGCCCATCTAAGTAGTACCCCCATGGGGAACCCCTAGGACCCTGGTCCGTCAACTCCGGGCAAGCGGATGTCTCCCGCCACCGCTTAGCGGTGCCCCGCTGCCACCGTCGGGCTAGCCACCGCCCTGGGCCCCTCGTTCTAAGGACGCTAGCCATGGATGCCTGCAAAAACTGAAACTCTAACCCGTCGTCGCCACCTCATCCACTGCCCCGGCCACCGTTCCACCCAACTCCCCCCCCCCTTCGGATTTCACCGACGTCATCGCGAGTGCTCGCTTGGGGTAGCGACCCATGCACGCCAAATAAGAATTTGGGGTTAGTATGTGTTCTTGGCTACACATCTATACACTACTTGAAGTTAATCTATTACATAACCTCTAGAATATTTCTTTGTTTTGGTATGTATCGATGACATGGAATCATGTTTGTATTTGTATGTTTGGTGAAATGGCTAGAGAGTCGTAGCTTACTATATATGGATCCTAGATGATATTATGCACATACAAGCATTAAATATTATTATATTCTATATAGCTAACTCAACAACATGTTTACTGCATGTGTTTTTGCTAATATTAACTTTAAGTAATATGGCATAGACTTAGAGCCAACAGCTGGCTAAATTATTAGCCTTGCTCTCAAACGCAAGTGAAGTTATTTGAGAAATCTGAAAACGTGCCTACCGAGCTACATACACCACTCACACACACTTGATCCCCACTCCCCACTGAGGAATTTTCTCCGGTGACACCTGGGTGACCCAGACTAGAATGGAACCCGAGTGTGCCTTACAATGGGGGAGGTGTTGAGCTTGACCATCCCAAGAGCTCCTTAAAAGCCACTTACCAAATCATGGATTATTCCAGGTCGACAAAAAGAGCAGGGCGACAAATTTTTGCCTTTCTCCAACAATTGCTAGTATTTTTGCTTAAAAAAAGATAGGGTCTACATCGGCCACTCGTCCTATAAGAGAGACTCTAATAGAATCCTTACTTCTAATTTGAGAGCTCTCCTTACTTTAGAGGGCTTGAATTTTTCTTCTTTTTTTGCATTTATGTGAGACTTTATGTTTGTAGTATGATTTAAAAACTAAACTTTGACGATAACAATTAGCAAATGTATAATAAACTGAAAAAGAAATATTTCCAAAATGTGACATTTTTAATAATACTTTTATTTTCATGTAGATCTCTAAAGTTTGAGGATAGATTGCGGAACCTGATCTTTGTTTCTTTCAGAGCATCTCCAAAAGTCTTTCTTAAACTTATCTTCTGAATCATCATTTTGAGAGTCATTTGAATAAAAATAACTCTCTATGTTTTTTCACTCTCCAATAGCTTTTTTACATCCTATGAGCACTCTAGAGAGACAGCTTTGCTTTCCATCTTTAACTAATTAAAAATCCGGAATAGAGGATGATAATATTAGAGGTCTAATTGAAGAAGCTGTTGGATGATATTGTTTCAACCAAAATATCAATTTTTGTCACTTTGGAAGGATATAAAAGACTCTTTGAGTTGCTCTATAAGGTTCCTATTGATTTCTGGCTTAAGGAGATCAACGCCCTCGTAAAATAACATTAATTAAGGACGGTTTATGCTATTTTCAGGGGACCACAATATATATAATGTCCACGTCTTAATAATGCAGACCCTCTTTATTGTGCCCAAAATTGACAACTGCGAAGATAGAACGTTGATATTAGCTTGTAAGGGCCAATTTCAAACTACTCTTGGGTTAAATATCAGTTCCTAACAAATATACACGAAAAAATCATTGCAAAATTTATCTATAAAAATCCGTTTAAAATTTCGATCATACTACTATATTGTTACTATACACCTCATAACCACTACAGTACACATGACAATGTGGAACGCTAGGAGGAATGGATAATGAGCTAACTGAATTTTTTTAGACTTTCTTCAAAATTAATATATTCTTATTTATTAGTAGGCTCAACTTCAAATTAATTAATCTAAAACCGAGCCAAAATTAAATTTCATTTGAATCGACTAATTTTAATTTCAAAGAAAACAAATGTAATCGGATTAGTTTAAAACCAGCCACCGACACAACTCAAGCAACTTTTCATCTAAGAAAACTCCCAACTGCAAGGTCCACCAATGCAACTTCACGAAGCAAGGAAGAGAAAGGCGAAGACGTTGGAGTTCGGAATGCAAACTGACCAGAAGATAGAGCACACAGGCGGCCAGGACCGCTCGATACCGGCCAAGTCGCGAGTCAGCAACGAGCGCGCCGACGAGCGGCAGCACGTTCACGGTCCCAGACCACGCGTTCACGCCGGCGGCCGCGGCAGCCGTGGACATGCCAAGTGGGCCGGTGAGGTACATGATCAAGTTGGCCGACACGCCGACGAACCCAATACGCTCAAAGAATCCCACCGCTGCATAGTAGTAGCAATAGCAACAGTGAAACGTGATGCAAACCTGCGGACGAACTAGGGAATTTGAACGATCGACTTGCAATCTGCATGATTACCGACGATGAAGAGGGCGGCACACCAACCGCCACGGCCACCGCCGGGTTTGGAGGTGACGGGCAACGCTGGTCCGGGAAGAAGCTCGCCACCGCCGGACTCCATCATATCAGCCCTCCGGTCTCCGGAGGATCCCAGGATAGGAGCACCGAGCACATCAAGCCTGTTGCGCGCGGCTTTGTCGCGTGACTAATGGTCGCAGCACCGGTTGGTGGTCCGGGAGACCGGGACCGTGCAGCTGTGCAGGTGCTGCCGCTCGCGAACGCGTGGTCCGGGACCTATTACTGACGGGGACGAGCTCAGCTATGCAAACCATTAAACCAAGGTCGTCAGGACGCGTAAAGTCGTTCTCAGCGAAGACTCTCGTAGCGTTTTTTAAGAACGTAGAATCTAATAAAACATATAGTTTCATTATTTTGTTTCAGACATTTAATCCGGTGATTCATCTTGAGTTTGTAACCAAGCAAGAGGATGAAACTTATTTCCTCACTCTTTTAATTAAAAAATTATCACTTCATCTTTAAATACAAATGAAACTCAATGAAACTTCCACCGAGGATGACCTAAACGCAATCGTGTCATACACACGCCCACGTATCCATGCGTACATGTAGGTGCCCTAGTTTGGAACTAGTTGTTTTAAGTTACAGATAATCCAAGCATCTTCAGTCAGGAATTCTTTGGTACCAAACACGCTACGACAGGCCGAATGACAGAGAAACTGCTAAAGTTTGCAAAAATGGAGTATTCATCCCTAAACTTAGGGCCGTTTTGAGGGGCTCCGACGAGCTTCGGCTCCTGCACTATAGCTTCTGCTGTGGCGGCTCTTGTCGGCAGAGCCCAAAACTCTAGCTCCTCTGTTTTTTCGTTTTGCAGCTTATTTTTTAAGGAACCGGACTAATTTTTTTCTTGTGCTAAAGCAATATAACTATACAGTGCTTTCGGAGCCAGAACCGAAACACCCGAAGCCGCACCAAATGAAAGCTTAGGGTTTTTTTTTTTTTTGACAGCACAAGCACAAACGTGGGGCTTAGTTGATATCTCGTGTCCAAGCCATCATTTTGTCGTCATGCCTTGGCCGTCTATATATTGGAGAAAATAACTCTCGTTGTTTTGTTATAAAATACTCTTGTCAATTTGGAAGTTTTTTTTGTTTTCTAAAATGGGTAATAATTTCCAATGTGAGTTTGTGCTCCCTCTGCACTCAGTTTTCCTGGAACTTTCTGTAGTGATTAGAATCCATGTTCTATTATCTTCCTATTAATTATTATGAGACGTGCTAGAAAAATAAAAAATAAATTGTAAAATTTTTAGAAGAAGTTCAGAAGAGAACCTTGCCACCAGTGTACTCTATTATACTCTAATCATCACTAGGATCTATTCTATTTTCTAAAAATTACCCACCGATGTTATTGTGAAACATAATATAAAGAAATCCCCGAATCTTCGCTAAATTGTCCACATTATCATAATGAAACATAACTATAAGTAAAATAATATAGATATTGCATATAAGAGCTGAAGCATTCCTTTATCTTCATTATGTCAAAGTTTATCTTGGTGTTGTTTCTTAAGCTTATTCGAATATTAAGATTCACCAAGATTGGTCGAGAAAAGAGGAGCATTTAAAACTATTTGAAAAGTCAAAACTTTCCCCACTAAGTACAATATGATTAAGTTGTTATCACCCTTCCAGTTTAAGACCAGAACTTTTGCCAAAACATAGTCCAGGATTGTATTCCTGAAAAGTTGTAAAGTAACTTTGCGTTGTATGTATATAAAGTATTATATACCCATCAATATAAAATTTGGTAACCACAAAGTTATAGGTTGCTACGGCAATAATTTTCTTTTGCAAAGTGTATTGATATTAATAAATCCACACAAGTGTTTATCATCGCTCTTGACAGAGGGAGCCATATTGTGGAATGGTTTTAGTCTATTTTTAAGGTGTAGTTGTCCTACTTAAGTTGTTTTATAGTAACCATATATATGTTGTTGTCCTACTTATGTAGAGTGGTTTACTATAGATACTTCACTGAATACTTCGATTTTTTCATCTATTAAGATTTAGTATTAAGCCAATTAAGGTACCATCTCACGAAACAAAATGGAAACAATGAAAATGATTACGCAAAAGCTTCTAGCCATAATCGATGTGGGGGGGGATGCCATTCGGTTCTTTTGCACGTGGTATAACTCTGACAAACTCTTCTCTTAAAACTGCTTTGCATCTTTGGAGAGACATTGATCTCTGTTTAAAAATACAGTCATTACGAACTATCCAGATGGCCCAAGACATTGAGATCAAAACTTTCATGAAGAAGGAACTGCTAGTTGATCCTTGAAGCTGACTATAATATCAAAGGGATTGCACACTTGGTCTTCACATGTCAAGACATCAAGAGGCTGCCCTGATTCGTCTCCTGGCCAACAAACGCTAGTGTCCCATCAAGCTGCAGGTTGCCATCGGTTCACGTCTCGGATCGTTAACATGCCTAGTGTCCCAGGCGTGGCTGATGCAGCATCCCGCTACCATCTGATTGCCTTGCGGCATCTCCTTCGACCTCGCTGCAGCCACATATCCCTCGATCTGTATTGTCACGGCGTTTCCTTTGACACTGCTGCACCCACAAGATCGTCCTTTACAATCTGTGGGTAAGCAGTTGATCCTTACGCTGGTCAGCAAAGTATGAGGGCATCTCTTTTGTTGCATGCCTGCTAAGGACATCCTCAACAATAGAGTCAACTTACTAGCTCATATGAACTTAAAAAAAATAGAGTAATCTAACATGCTAGTATAAAAAATATGTAAACATTGAAAGTGTATGAGCTTAGCTCTTCATTAAAAGCTAGTTTATTATTATCTCTCCTTATTGAATAAAATATCTTATAAGCTAGCTCTTAAGAGGCTGCTGTAGCTGCCCTGGCACATATTCTCCTTGCGACAACCTTTTGAGGTCCTATTAAAAAGATATTTTCCAAAGATGATATCTAGAGATCCAGAGGCTACACATTTCGTGCAACAAGGACACCTCCAATAGTATAGATGTCATATTGTCATCTCATAATGTATGCTTTATATGAAATATGTTTTTTATTTATATATTCTCTCTAAAAAAATTTAGCTCTTCTCTTCCGGCTGGTTCAAAGATTTTTGACCTCTCTCTACTCCACATGGCATCTAAAACTAGTTTAGAGTTGGCAATTGAAGATCCCCTTAGTTGCCGGTTAGAAGGTTATATTATGGTGCTTATCTAAATAATTCCGCAGAAAATGGCCCATTTGAGAATATATAGCCTCGACTAGCCCATTTGGGAATCTTAAACCAAGAGATAACCAGTCCAAGGGGGAAAATTACTGTATGTGTTAACACCAGAATCCCGTAGCCACTCCGTACTCCGTACGGGTGTTTTTTTTTCAGGGCTGGTTCTCTACAAACAGCTACAGCTACAGGCACCCCCCTCAAAGTGATCAGTACAGCTCAAACTGCATATATCACACGAGATCACCATTGCCACCACCATCATTGCCACTCTTTCTCTTGTAAGCATACACTCGAGAGAAGAGCACAAAGGCGACGAGCTCCACGGCGCAGAGCCCAGTGAGCAGCCAGTAGAAGTAGTCGAGGTGGGCGCGGTTGAGGTTGTTAGAGAACCAGCTCGTCCCGCTCCTCGCTGTCGTCTTGTCAATGACAGAGATGAGGAAGCTGCTGAGGAGGTGGCCAACCCCGAAGATGCTCAGGAACAGGGCCAGCCCAAGGCTCCGCACCGCGTCGGGGACCTGGTCGTAGAAGAACTCCTGCAGCCCGATCATGGCGAACACGTCGGCAACGCCGATGAGGACGTACTGCGGGACCATCCACCAGAGCGTCATGGGGAGCTGCGCCTTCGGGGTGTTCACCAGGCCGGCTTCCGTCGCGACTCGGAGCCGCTTCATCTCCACGAGCGCGGACAGGGCCACGGCGACGAGGGACAGCGCCAGGCCGGCGCCGACCCTCTGCAGCATGGTGATCCCCGTCGGCCGCCCCGTGTAGCGCCGCGCCAGGGGCACGAAGAGCCGGTCGTACACCGGGATGAAGATGACGATGCTGACGCTGATGAACGTCTGCAGCGCCGCCGGCGGCACCTTGAACCTGGCACCGATCCGGCGGTCCAGCGTCGCGGCCTGCTTCGTGAAGAACGTCGATGTCTGGGAGAAGATGATCGCGTAGATTATGCACGACGCCCATATGGGCAGCAGGCGGAGCACGCTCTTCACTTCCTCGACGGCGACGGCGTTGTCCTCGTCGCCGTCGCTTAATTTTCTGCTTGCAGCAATGCACGGACTGTCATGTCATGTCACACAAGATGCACAGCAGCAAATATTCAATCGGAGCAGTGGAGATACCTGGTGCGATGCTTGGGCGCCCAGCTCTGGATCAAAGCCAGCAACGCCTTCCCGACGCGAGAGAAGGGGCTGGCCTCCGTGGTGGTGTAGAACCGGTACGACCTTGTCCCGAGCAGGAACAGGACGAGCGAGGCGACGATGACGATACAGGGGATGCCGAAGCCGAGTCCCCAGCCGACGTTGTCCTGCACGTAACTGGAGACCATGGTGGTGACAGCGGTGCCGGCGCACATGCCGAAGTACCACCAGTTGAAGAACGAGCTCCGCGCCACGCTCTCCTCGGGGTCCTTCTCGTCGAACTGGTCCGCTGCGAACGCCTGCGCGCACGGCTTGTGCGCGCCCTCGCCGAGGGCCACCAGGTACAGTGCCACGTAGAAGATGGCCACGTGGCCGCCGCGCAAGGCCGGCAACGCCGACGACAGCGACAGGGCGCCCATACTCTGCAGCGAAAACAGGGCCACGGTTGAAGAACAAGACTGGGCTAGGAGAGCGAGCGGACGGAGACGTGCGGGAGACAGGGGACTGACCACGACGAAGATGAGGGAGGCGAGGACGATGGCCCGGTACCGGCCGAGCCAGGCGTCGGCGACGCACGCGAGCGGCAGCGGCAGCATCTGGGAGACGCCCTTCCACGCATCGATGGACGCGGCGGCGCGCGCCATCGGCTGCCCCAGCGGCCCCGTCAGGTAGGTGATCAGGTTCGCGGCCACGCCCTTGTA